CACCCCCGCACTTCTCCGGCGGTGCCGGCCGCCCCGCACTGAGGCTGCCCGTCCCCCCCGCAGCTCCCGCGGGCTGCGGGTCTCCTCCTGCTGCTCCTGCTCCTGCTGGGGTCCCTGGCCGCCTCCCGGCAGAGCCCCCCCGAGTGCTGCCGGCAGAAGACCTGCTCCTGCCGCGTCTACGACCTCCTGCACGGCATGGGCAACCACGCCGCGGGCATCCTCACCTTGGGCAAGAGGAAGAGCATCCCTCCAGCTTTCCAGAGCCGGCTCTACCGCCTGCTTCACGGCTCCGGTAACCACGCCGCGGGCATCCTCACCATGGGCAAACGCGGGGAGCCCCCCGGCATCTCCTGCCACGGAGCCTCGGGTTGCCCCGCGGATCCCCCGCCCACATCGGAGCTGCGGGGCCCGGCCGCCAGCCCCACGGAGTGCCAGGGACACTCGGGGAAGGATGTGACCAAGAGCCAGGCCCAGGGAGCCGCCAAGAGCTTTTACTGAGCGGGATGGGAGCGGAGAGAGGTGGGGGGGGGATCCCTGGGGGGACGGACCCCCGGAGCTGGGTGTAAATAGCACTTTTAGATACCTCCTCCCGGCCCCGGCCTGCGCAGGGCACCGCAGGCACCGCTGGCCTTTTACAATAAATGGTAGCCTGACGTTTCCCGGCTCTGCTGTCTCCGTGGGGAGGGGTCGGGGGGGGGGGCACAGCTCCGCACGGAGGGAGCCAGCGAGGCTGGTGCCTTCCTCTGGGGGTGCCCGCACTGGGGCGAGCCTCCACCAGGCTGCCCGGGACTGGGGGGTGTTTGGGAACCCCCCCGAAAGGGCTCGGAGCACCAGGGAGCCTCTGGTGACCCTCTCGTGGGCACAGTTCCCCGACCGCCACCCCACGCCGCTGCCTGGTCCCCACGCTCCGAGTGCCCCTCAGGGGGTCCCGCAGGGCACGGCTTTGCCCCCCAGCCCCCGAGAGCCGAGGGTCGTGTCCCACGGCAGGATCCCCCGGGGACACCGGGTCCTGCCCCCTCCCCAGCCCCCACGGACCCCGTGAGCTCCGGTGCCCCTCAGCGCTGAGCGGGCTGGTACCGGGCAGGTCCCGGTGCGGCAGGTCCGGAGCTGAGTAGGTTCCGGCGCCACCCCCGGGACCGAGGGGTCCGGTGTCCCCCCGGGGCAGAGCGACCTACCCCCGGGCGGGTGCCGGTGCCCGCCGCTGCCGA